AACAATAAGCTGACACGTCGCGGTTTTACTGGAATACTGCTTAAAGCGGCGTTAAACCCAACTCACTCACTCACTCACTCAGTGATAATTCCCTGTGTATAACTCTGACATGAGTTGGACCATCGAGCCAGCTCCCCGGTCACCCAATCATGTTTTATATGGTTTCCTGTACGCTACCCTCAAAGTTGCCAGTGCTGTTGTTGTAGCATTAGTGCCTCTAGGCAGTGGTGTCTTTAGGTAAGCTGTTGAATAACCTGTCTATATGTGGAGATGTATGTAGTTGTTACTTCCAGGCTTTGTTCCGTGACATGGCTCGTATTTGGAAACCTCAGTTGTCAGAAGTACTGTAAGTTGTTAAAGGTTAGAACAAGATATGCACAAGTAGAGAATGCATTTTCTGATGACGTATGTTCTTGAAAATATATCTTTACTCATGCAATCCCAATTTGGTTCATCGATTATATAATCGGACATTCAACTCTCTCATGAACATCCTTTTTTTCATTTCTGGCCAATACCACACCATCACTAAGTGAAGCTGAATGACAAATCGTCTGAAAACATAACCATTTCAGTTAATCCATACAGCCAATTAAACGGAAAGCCTATGTACATCACAGGAGAAGCGTTAATTCTGGAGCGTCAATACACCCAGGGAGTGAGCCGCATCCGATTTACGACACATCTAGCGAGAAAAGACCCTTTTAAGCTATTGGCGTCGAACAACACATCTCCGCCGCACGGAATCAATGGTTTGGTTTGTCAGCTCGCTTGGATGAGGGGGGTACAATTGATTGTACATACAGCGTTCTCTCATTCCCCATCCCTACTCGCATTTAGCGTTCCTATCCTCCCCCAATTGGTGAGTTTTTCACATGCTTAGGAAGCCGACCCGAGTAATTACAGCAGGGCATGAGAGGGAAGTGTCCTGGACGAGGAGATCCGGGGACTGGAGGAGAGAAGCACGCATTTGAGGTCCAATACTCTTTGGGTGGTGGCAGGGGACAACATACGTGTGTGAGTCTGTTATATTGGCTGTCTAAAACACATTAGTGATTAGTTCTATTATATTGCAATAGTGCACATCGACTGTTAAATTTTCACTTATTCAATAATATACGTTCCATTTGAAGAGAATACTAACACTATGATCATTGCTTCAGGAAATAATATTAAGCATTATATATGTGTTTTATATATATATGTGTTTTATGTTATTGTCAGCAGTGAACGTGCTGAATGTACATATAGATCTTTAATATACGGCATAGTTACAGCGATGTGGCATTAAAGGCCGAACAAAGAATACGTCAACAGTGAATAAATAATTTCAGTACATACTGTCCATTGAAATCACATGTCCATTGTACAACTCATCCATAGAGCGATATAAAGAAACACATACATTGTAGTATACAGCCTAGCGGAATATAGAAGGCGAATATAACTAAATGCAGTATGATATAACAATATAAATGATACAGTATTTAGTTCTTCTACACATTTCATAATGTAAATATGTGAGTAGTACATATAGTCAAATGTATTACCTGATATGAACATATCCTAAACACAGTAATTAAAATATAAAAGTGTGCAAATCCAATATTGAAATTCATATATTCATCATTCTATTTTCCTTAATATTAGACACAGCAGGTGATATTTTGTCGATTGGGCACTTGCATGTCAGATGTATAGCACGGAGAAGTATGATATAAAACACGCGTCAGCTTAGAGGGTCAGTATTACTAATGCCATATATATTTCACAGCTGGTGTTTCAAAGAAATTCACATAACAATTATTTGTTTGTATTGGACAAAATATTGAACATAACGTGTTTTTTGAAGACAGGCACCTTCGCACAAAATACTTTACTACCTTCTTTCATCAGTGACTGTCCAATGACATATTGAAGCTGGTACGTACAGAGTCTGGAGCTACACTATCGAGTCACTTCTGAGATTATACAGCGTCCCAGTGTTGTGTAACCTACATTTAATGGTTTATATGGTATCGCCTTATCATAAACTATGGGTTCTTTATTTTATGGTCGATGAAATCAAGTATGAATCCTTGGATTATTAAATCAGTCGTGTTTCGATTGAGCTGCAGATCATGTGTGCCTCATCGGCCTCGATAGTAAACTCAACTATCGATTCATTAATGCCATCGCCATAGGGCATACACGCATTATAAACGAACAGCATGGACTATTTCCGGACTATGATTCATTCCGACCTACAACCAGTAGTAGATTTAAAACCGAAAAGCATTCAGAATTAAAATATCTAATTTTGTAAGGGGGCCACATACAAACGAACAAATAACATCAGAAGCAGATAACTCTCTGCTATCCACAATTTGTATACAAAATGGAACTGTATACTCTTTACCACGATATGATCAATGAACCGAATACTTGTTAGAACATGAGAACTTCATGCACATGAGGGCATCAGACATAGCTTCCATAGATGATAAGGTTCACGAGTTTGTCCCTGAGTGGGGCAGACCAGTGACAGGTGTAGACTTTAAGCCTCACACTACCGAACAGTTGTTCGTGGGGGAGAGCTGTCAGCACCTCACATTGGTGTGGGGCGGCCGTTTGGTGTGCTATCTCACCCTATCTCAAATTTGTTCAATACGAGCATTTATTACGAAGAAGCGACTGTTCTTTTGAGGAGGTGGCCCAAGCAATCTCTGTAAGTTCATAATCCACACATCACAACACACACCTTCAAATCCAACACATCTTCATATGCAACACTCATCACCGTCACACATCTTCATACCCTACACACATCACCGTCACACATCTTCATATCCAAGACAAATCACTGTCACACATCTTGATCATACCCGACACACATCTTCATACCCGACACACATTCATATCCGAAACACATAACTGGCACTCACCTTCATTTACATTTTTCTATTACCAGCGTGGCGAAGATACAGGTAGTGAGATGCTAAATCCGTACGTCACACGTGAGTCGTACATGGTTGACCTTATTTTTTCGTTTTGATTTGATAACTGTGACCTCTGTCACACCGGAACTACTTTTTTTCATTCATAAAAAAAATCGCTAGACGTAATTCACTTTTGTAACTACAAGGCAGAACTGACGGAATCTCATGAAAGAAAAACATTTACAAACACGTTATTAAACCACACAAGATAGTCACACGCATCAAATCCCGCTTTGTATTCCATATTGGTTATGCAAAGAGCATTATAGCGATATAATCCAGCCATATCTATTAATTTTGCAATGTACGACTTCCGATAGATCGAGGCCGCGTCCCTATGAACATGACGCACCCGACCACTTTCGCGACTTTCAGTTTGATTTAACGAAAACGGTTAAGCTTGGTGAAATGAAGTCAGTTTAAACTATCTGGATCTATATCTAAACATACGTTGAATGCTCCGGTTGTGCCATCAGATTTCCCTTAGAAGCATATGTTGTGACATTTTGTGACATTGAAATTGTTTCGTTGTTCATGAATGAACATATACGACTGCCCGACCAGATTCACTTAAGGTGAACAGTTCCGATACAAATCATTCGAAAACTCCGTGGAAGTTCGCCCAAAGCATCCCAGATGTGAACAATATCATTACCTATTGATCTCTAGCGTAAAACGCTGTGAGTAGATCACAGTTGTCTTTTCTTATTCCGATGGTGACCTTGCCCTTCGTTCGTAGCTGTCACTGGCATGCAAGCAGACTTGAGTTTGTTGATTTTCACGTCTTCAGCATTGGGTCGTACATTTATCATAAACGTCTTTGGCGAGCACTCCGGGAAATGTCAACAATGTCCATGTTTGGGTATATGTCAATCTTCATGCGCAACCAATTATGCAACCGGTTCCAGTTTGGTCTGTTATGGAACGAAAGTTGTTATGTATTTACACTTAAATACATATTTGACGTGGGAAATAAACAAAATACCAAACTCATTTCTCGTTAGATACAATGCTATAACTTGCTATGGTATCTGTCCTCGCTTTTGCTCTTTAAGATATACTGTAGAAATTCCACTCGTTTCGTAAAAAACTCTATATTCTCTATATACCCGACATATACATGACACACACCTTCATTCCTTACACACACGTTCATAACGGATACACACCTTCATACGTGACACATATTATTATTATATAATTTATGAAATTTAGACAAGATTGTGATTCCATCCACTAGGTTACAACACTAAAAGTGTTCATTTATTCCATCAACTGACAGTGTCACGAAGTGAAACCTTCCTCACCCTTGAATGCAGCACGGTGCACGAGACCTAGCATGTACTAGTGAAGCTTGTCTACAGGCTCAATACACACAAACTGAACATTTCCAATATACAATAATGGATTTAGTTGAGAAGGAAGTATTTCTTGATATTCACTTTGGATAACGTGCCATGAATGTACGTACGGTCACAGGCGAGTAACGTGTGGGCGTTGCTTTCCATAAGATTAACAACATACACATGGACAACTTGGGCGTTGAGCGTTGGCATGGTATAGAACCCACTACTATGCTATGACTCACCATGCCGACAGTGAACATTACAGCACACAGGTAGGAAGTTCAAAATGCCGCCGTGGGTCATAGCTACTTTTATGTGTTGTTTCAATGGAAGCAGGCTGATGAAGTTGCGTCCGCTTGAACCCGAGCCGAGATTCCCAGTTGATGACGCTGCCAGCTTGGTTTTAATGGCGGTAACTGATTGGATGTATCAGATCTATCCATGAACATGTACAGCGTCCGGTTTTGGGACCAGTTGGTAGTTGACTTGTCATAACACTCGTTCAAACCAATGTATTACAATAGATCCACAAATCTACTGAATAACATGGGTTCGCCTATTTGGAATGTTAATGGTGGTAAACATGGCCCTTAAAATCACTTTACTGACAAAATATAAAGAGTTATGTTCGAAGTATATTCATTTGCCTAGCTCTAACTTTTCATTTTACTTGCAGAAGCATCACCAACCTCATGTAATTACAGATGCCCATTGTGAAGAGAGCACCCATTGGCGGGCCCTGAGGCAGGAGAAGGCACTGCTATCAGCTGTGGTGTTTACCTTTCTAGCAAGAGCCCCTCCATTCATTAGTTCGTGTTGACATTCAACTTGTGGAACTTTCTCTACAACTATTGAAGTCCTTCCTGCAAGGAATATTTCGAAAATGCTTGGTGGAAATTGATCATGACGGGCCCAGCTATAAAGAATAGGAGAAGAAAGAGAAAAATCAATTGTTCCAAAATTACGATTTAAATTCAATTTGGATTCCCTCAGACGTTTAAGTCTGGATATATTCAGTAGTTTGGACGTTTTGACCTTCCCGAGAAGACACAAGTGTCTAATGCTGGGTTCCTGTTCCACTGTCTCATGGGAGTTCCCGATTCCTCCAATAAAGTCTAGTTATCTCGAACGGAATTCAAGTCAGCAACCAACGCAGATCCGAGAGTGAGGCGATATTGTGAATGGCTGGATTCTAATGTCAGTGACTCTCAATATAGTGTGTGATTGAAACCAGCAGAATTGGACATTTTGTTATATGTCCTGTATCAGATTATATTTCTGATAGGTTCTGGGCAGCCCAAAGGATATTTCCATCTGATTGATACATCCCTCCTACTGCATCATTGCTTGGTGAGTCCTTTAAATAACCATTAATTACTAACACATAATCACTGATCATATTCTATACTTCATTTCCTTCTTCCGTGAGCATTCCATATATTGAACTATGTGGGCAATTCGAATCACGTGGCACAACAGTAAGCCGTGGATGGATATCTTACACGTGTCCATACATTTTGATGTCGTATCACACCAGGAAATGTAATATTGTGTTGTTTATAATGTCACTATGACACACGTCGATATCGGAATTCTAAGGTAGCTGGTATATACTAATGGATATACTGCACTTCTACAGTGATTTACATTGCTATTGCTACCAGGATATTATAAGCATGAGTATATTGATAAGGTATTAAGAATAACATGTGCTATGCTTTTGCTTTCACATAACCTTCAGGTAAAATATCAGGGTTAGATTTTCGGGTTACTGTCTCTGGTGATTGCTCATATAGTCTTCAGATAAAACAGTAGGGTTGGATTTTTACGGGTCACTGTCTCTCGTTTTACATATACCATGATAGTGCAGGATATATTTGTGGACTCAATTGCAATAGGACACTCCTTCATTGATGGTTTTGGCATAAGTAAAACTTCCCCAGGGTTTAATCAAAACTAAAAACGGCAATATAATATGTCATGTCTGCGAGTGGCACACTATTGACCTGGACAACAGTCCCTGTTATGTAGTCTCCTCATTGAGGGGTGACTCGGGCAGATATTGACCCGGGCAGCAGTCCTTGTTATGTAGTCTCCCCGTGCAGTGGCAACCTTGAGGAGTGACTCGGGCAGATATTGACCCGGACAGCAGTCCTTGTTATGTAGTCTCCTCATTGAGGGGTGACTCGGGCAGATATTGACCCGGGCAGCAGTCCTTGTTATGTAGTCTCCCCGTGCAGTGGCAAACCTTGAGGGGTGACTCGGGCAGATATTGACCCGGACAGCAGTCCTTGTTATGTAGTCTCCTCGTGCAGTGGCAACCTTTAGGGCTGACTCGGGCAGATATTGACCCGGACAGCAGTCCTTGTTATGTAGTCTCCTCGTGCAGTGGCAACCTTTAGGGCTGACTCGGGCAGATATTGACCAAGAGAGCAGTCCTTGTTATGTAGTCTCCTCGTGCAGTGGCAACCTTTAGGGCTGACTCGGGCAGATATTGACCCGGACAGCAGTCCTTGTTATGTAGTCTCCTCGTGCAGTGGCAACCTTTAGGGCTGACTCGGGCAGATATTGACCCGGACAGCAGTCCTTGTTATGTAGTCTCCTCGTGCAGTGGCAACCTTTAGGGCTGACTCGGGCAGATATTGACCCGGACAGCAGTCCTTGTTATGTAGTCTCCTCGTGCAGTGGCAACCTTTAGGGCTGACTCGGGCAGATATTGACCCGGACAGCAGTCCCTGTTATGTAGTCTCCTCATTGAGAGCTGACTCGGGCAGATATTGACCCGGACAGCAGTTCCTGTTATATTGTCTCCTCATTGAGGGGCGACTCGGGCAGATATTGACCCGGACAGCAGTCCCTGTTATGTAGTCTCCCAATTGAGGGGTGACTCGGGCAGATATTGACCCGGACAGCAGCCCCTGTTATGTAGTCTTCTCGTGCAGTGGCAACATTGAGAGCTGACTTGAGGGGATATTGGCCCTGACAGCAGTCTGCAAACTCTCCACTTCTCCACAAGACAATCAGCTAGGTAATTCTATTGACAGCTTTCTACCGTCTGTATGCTGTCTTCTGGGCAAGAAATTATCGGCTACATACACTTTGGTCTGGGTCTGGGTCTGGGTCTCTTAGGATAGTCGCTTTGTGCATGGCAATGAGTTGATGTGGAACCTCTGATAGTTGGTGGCTATCCCATCATGGTATACACTACAGCATGTAGCAGAAGGTAGCTGTATTATCTAAATGTATTTGTAATGACGGAAGGTTAAAGATAAAAATATTGGCAAGTTAAAGGTAAAGTACATCGTTAGGTGTTTATCGTCGAGCAAAATATCTAAATAACGTTTTTTAATAGATAAGGCTGCAGCAACAGTTGTCAGACGTAGTGGTAGTTTCAGACTTCATTGCTGCTGTTGATGGCGTTGCAGTTATTACATGTTGCTCGACAACCTTGACAATCAAACTACGCGTAGCTGATTTTAATAACCAACATTTTGTTAATGCCTCCTGAACAATACTGGCAACTGCTGCACCAGTCCTTCTATGTCTCCATCTAAACGTATGGAAGAAGGCGTGTCCGTCCGGCTCTAGTGCCTCCAGTAGGTGTACACTTGTTATCACAGTGACGATAGTCTCGTATCACCACACAGAGAGAACATATTCAGCGCATCTACATGCTCATCAGTTGTAACTGCAATATCTGATACTAACGTAGACCAGGGGAGAGACAATTAATACACCAGTGTGACTAACAGATTATCAGCTTCAATGACAGATTACTGGACTAAGCAGTAGGATAATTCCAGGGTGTATGAAGAGGCATTTGTCACTCCTAGAAATGATCCATTCCAACCCTGCATATACTCTCATTATGCTGCTATCTGCTACATTGATTGCAATACTCGACAGCTACATGCAGCAGGTTTTTGTGTTTTACTGATCTCCTTTGATGGCATGACTGATATCGATCATCGTGAAATCCTGCTGTCGTGGTTCATTCCAACGCGCGTCCATTATCCGTGTAGTAGTCTTATATGTAAAACGCATTTGTTGGGCTATGATTTAGGCTTAAAAAGGACGTGTTAATGTTCAAAAGGTATCAAGCTGCGATTGTTAATTAAGATTGCGGTTAGTATGTTGTTTCATCTTCATAATGGTATCTGGGGATAGTATAGTTTTGCATAACTTTCACAATAATTCGTGAAACAATGTTTACTGTATGCAGTAGCCAGTGTACACTGACGATTAGCCAACATGTTTGGACGACTTAGTATAGGCTGCATAATGAATCCGTTTTCAGACATAGTCAGCACATGCTTCGACGTTGAACCGTGGGCAGCCGGTGTCGGTAGCGCGAGCTTCCATCTTGCAATGTCAGCACAGGGATACAACATCCACTGTGATGAGTTAATAATACCATTGTCGATATCAATAAAACCTATTCTTTATTTAGTTGGTACGGCCTAAGGTACAAATCCCATGGCGATTCATTGTGTGATGCACAACCATGGCTGTATTTTTAATTAACGATTTGTCTCGGTTTGACATTAGAATATTAAACTTAGATGATGTTGGATGGACATGAAGCTTTTTCTCGTGTATACTGTTGTCGAAGGTTACAATATGCGTTACAAATTAGCAGGAAATAATATTCGTCCTTCACAAAGCCCACGTTACTGATCTTACAAAACCTCTGGATCCCGAGAGTGTTATTGTATCTAACAGTAATATAGCGGAAGCGAGCCATTGCCGATCAAAATTTATCTCAATTTACAGTTGATAAATGGTATTCAACAGAGAAGGTTGATTATGAACTACAAACAGTTGCTGAATGCCAGCCCTGTTGTTACCGATAATAACAGGCTATTGCAATAACGTACAAGTAAAATACAACCAGGATGGATTTAGGAAATAAACGTACTGTGTTTTCAATGTAGAGCCAGGTTACCCGCGCTGAATTGAATTTGGAACCGAACGCGCAGCCATATATTGTGGCCATACTCAATGCCCTATATTGTTGTTGCGATTGTGGACATACCCAATGCCATATATTGTTATAGTGATTGTGGCCATACTTAATGCCATATATTGTTATGGTGATTGTGGACATACCCAATCCCATATATTGTTATAGTGATTGTGGCCATACCCACTGCCATATATTGTTATGGAGATTGTGGACATGCCCAATGCCATATATTGTTATGGTGATTGTGGACATACCCACTGCCATATATTGTTATGTTGATTGTGGCTATACCCACTGCCATATAGTGTTATGGTGGTTGTGGACATGCCCACTGCCATATATTGTTATGGTGATTGTGGACATACCCACTGCCATATATTGTAATGGTGATTGTGGACATGCCCACTGCATTTTATTGTTATGGAGATTGTGGCCATACCCAATGCCATATATTGTTATAGTGATTGTGGCCATACCCACTACCATATATTGTAATGGTGGTTGTGGACATGCCCACTGCCATATATTGTTATGGAGATTGTGGACATACCCAATGCCATATATTGTTATAGTGATTGTGGCCATACCCAATGCCATATATTGTTATAGTGATTGTGGACATACCCAATGCCATATATTGTTATGGTGATTGTGGACATACCCACTGCCATATATTGTTATGGAGATTGTGGACATACCCAATGCAATACGTTGCTATATTGTTTGTGGCCATTCTACATGATGATCTTGTTTCTCTTTTCCTCAAATGCTATTCTTCTTGTTCAAATTATGAACTATTATGACATTTCAACGCCAAATCAGTTACAATATGTCATTTTCACACCCCAAGCCAATTTTTCCCCATGTTCAAAACGTGACCTGTCCTAGTCGATTTCTCACAAATACACAAGGAAATGACCATGACGACGAATATCGGTAAAACGCAGTTACGCATAATATGGCGACAGGACGTTATATATATATTTACGATAAACGACATTTCCGAGCATCGCATTACACGAGTCGAGTCGATTTGGATGTTGCAGTTTGCGAAAGAATGTTGCTTAGTGATGCATTCAGCTACACCAGAGAAGAATAATTCAAACCTACTTAACCCTAACAAGTCTGAAGTCAATGACTACTTGGCATGGTATAATTAGGTTTCAGCGCATAAATCCACTTGTACGAAGGGCATTTTACGTCCTCCGAGACGCAGGTACGAATGGTAAGTGGAACAGTAACATACACCAGCTTGAATTGGTGCAATGAACATAGTCGGTTTGACTGGCAGTTTTATTGGTATGGCAATTCTGAATGCAGAAGAGATCCCGTGTCGATCAGAACACTGACAAAAAAACAGTTCAGTTGAATCCCAGATGACACT